GAAGGGTCGGACAAGGTGGCGAAGGAGGGGGTCAAAGCCCAGGGCCCAGAGGGAGCCAGAAAGGGGACACCCCTGGGGGACGCCAGACGTGATATCGAACATGGGCACAACCTCAGAGCCAACCGACAGATGAGACAGGGCACCTGCAGCGAGGGCATTAATGGCGTAGAAGAAACCGATGTGCATGCGATGCCTTTCAAGCACAAGCCTAAGCCACGTCTGACTCATGCTGGGAAAGGCGGCTTTTATGTCAAAGCTCAGGAATATGGGATGCGCGTCAGCATGGACGATGCCAGCTCTCCGAGCCGCTGTGTCCATTGCTAGAATATTGTGGCCGAGATTCCTGCCTTTCACAAAACCCTGCTGGACCACATGGGTCCTCTGGACCACAAGGTGCTGCAGCTGGTGATTGAGTGTAGACGCCAGAAGCTTGCTGTCCGAATTTTTCAGCGATAAGGGGCGGAGGGTCCCTGGGTCCCTAACACAATCCGTGGTGTCCCTCGGGTCCTCGCCCTTGGGGATAAACGCAAAAACACTGTGGTTGAGGCCTTCAGGAGGGGGCTGACCGCCCATCAAGTAGAGGAGGAGGCGATAGAGGACGTCGAGGCAGGAGGGGTGACCTTTCCACGCTGCATAAGTGAGCCTATCTGGCCCTGGTGCCGATTCTCGTGCTCTTCCTAAACAGGCTGCCATCTCTTCCCGCGTGGGGACATGAAAGTCAAAAGCTGGATGGTCAGGCATATTGGCGGCGAGGAATGACTTAATTTCCTCCGTCGGCATCTCACCTTCTGTGAAAACTGGTTGCCAGTATTCTCTTAATGCATTAGCAATCGGGACAGGGCCTCGGGCAACATCACTGCGGTGACCAGTCTGGGCAACACGTATCCCCTTCAGCACGAGTCGCCTTTGTTTGGGTCTCCAAAGGAGCGCCCTACGCAAAGACCTCTCCTGCATCTTGCCCCAGTGAGAGGCTTCGCGGGGATTCGAGCGTGCCCTACTGGCAGCTTCGTCTTGCATCTTTTCATGGCGGGCGGCATTCTGGCTAAGGACCTCGTGTCTGAATTCCTCCTCACGCTGGAGTAGAACTCTTTTTCCGACAATGTTTAAAAACTTCTGGCCATACTTAGAGTCTTCCTGCAGTCTGGAGGCCGTGCGCACATCTTGGCGCCAGATGGCTCGAGCAATCGATC